GCCCGGGCGCCCCCGCCCCCCCGCCCCCCCCCCCCCCCCCAAAAAAAAACCCCCAGGGGGACGCAGGCGCCCGGGCTCACTTTTTATCGGCCCCCGAGTTGATGTTGTCGCCGTCGGCCAGGTTGTCGACCGCGATGGCCAAGAAGACGTTGAGGAGGATGTCTGCGGGGAGGAAAGGGTTAACCAGTGCTCCCAGTATCCTCCCAGTATCCTTCCCCTCTAGGCTGGGTTCGCTCCTGCTCCCAGTCCCCTCCCAGTTCCCTCTCCGCTTCTCATTCCCAACCCCACCTCCCCAGTTACCCCCTGCTCCCTTCCCTGTTACCCCATGCCCTGCTCCCAGTCCCTCCCAGTGCTCCCAGTACGCCCGGCTCACAGTTCCCACAGATGAAGAGGATGACAAAGTAGACGCAAACGAGCATCCCGGGGAAGACGGGGCCGCCGTAGGCCATGATCCCGTCGTACATCACCGCGTTCCAGTCCTCCCCCGTCAGGATCTGGGGGTCACCCCAAAACCTCAGCGTCCCCCGCCGCCACCAGTACACCCCCCCCCAGCGCTCCCAGTACGCTGCCGCTTCCCAGTCCTTCTCCGTCAGGGCGCAGCGTCACCCTGGAGCGACTACAGGGGGGTCTCCCCACAGGTTTTGGGGTCTCCCGTGGGGTTTTGGGGTCTCCCCACAGGTTTTGGGGTCCCCCATGGATTTTGGGGTCTCCCCATGGGTTTTGGGGCCTATTGAGGCGCCCCACAGCTTTCGGGGTCCCCCACAGCTTTCGGGGTCTCCTCATGGGTTCTGGGGTCCCCCATGGGCTCCGGGGACCCCCCCAGGTTTCAAGCTCCCCCATGGGTTTTGGGTCTCCCCAGGAGTTTCAGGATCCCCCCCAGGTTTCGGGGTCCTCCTCTGAGTTTTGGGGTCCCCCCCGAGTTTCGGGGTACCTGGAAGACGGTGAGCAGCGCCTGAGGGAAGGTATCGAAGGTGCTGCGCTTGGTCTGGGTCTCGTCGAAGCTGAAGCGGCCCCCGAAGAGCTGCATGCCCAGCAGGGCGAAGATGATGATGAAGAGGAAGAGGAGGAGGAGGAGGGAAGCGATGGACTTCATGGAGTTCAACAGGGAGCCCACCAGGTTGCTCAGCGACGCCCAGTGCCTAGGGGACGCTGGGGTTACTGGGAGGACTGGGAAAGGACGGGGAACAGCCGGCGGCGGGGCGTCACCGCGAGGCGTCACCGCGAGGCGGCGGTTGTTCCCCCGCACCTGGTGACTTTGAAGACGCGGAGGAGGCGGACGCAGCGGAGGACGGAGATCCCCAGGGGTTCCATCGCCCCCCGCTCCACCAGAGCTGTTTCCAACACCCCACCGCACACCACAAAACAATCGAAGCGGTTGAAAAAACTGGCGAAGTACCGGGCGGGGCCCAGGGCGTACAGCTTCAACACCATCTCGGCGGCGAACAGCGACAGCAGCGCCTTGTTGGCGTAGGCTTTTTTGGGGGTAACCCGGGCGTCCGGTTTGAGGAACCCCCCAAAAACCTGTCGGGGTGTTGAGGGGTGTAGCGGGGTTGTACCTTGCGTTTGGGTGAGCCAAGGGGGCTGCCCGTGGTGCTCGGAGGCGATGGTGAGGGTGTTGAGGAAGACCAGGAGTAAGACAGTCCAGTAGAAGGAGACGGATTTCACCGCCCCGCGGCACCGTCGGCGCCACAGGCGGTTCAGGCGGCGCAGGCGGTGCCTGGGGGTTGGATTTGGGGGTATGGGGGTGCGGGAGGGGACAGGCGGCCGCGGGGATGGTGTAGTTTGGGGACGGAGGGGAGGCGTTGGGGTTACAGAGACAGGCGGCCGTGGGGACGGTGTAGTTTGGGGACGGAGGGGAGGTGTCGGGGTTACAGAGACAGGCGGCCGTGGGGACGGTGTAGTTTGGGGACGGAGGGGAGGTGTCGGGGTTACAGAGACAGGCGGCCGTGGGGACGGTGTAGTTTGGGGACGGAGGGGAGG